TATATCTACAAACAATCTTAATATGGTATAAATTTAGATAATAGTTATCTATAAATGGTTTTAGAAAAAAGAAATTGTTCTTATAAGTATATTATTTCACTCCAGTCAAAATTTTAAAACCATCTTAATACCAAACAATTCAATTAAGTGTAATCTCTCTTAAGGTTTACTCTTATAGTCCTTATTTTAAGTTCATCTGTAGAACAACTGATTATGTTTAGTAAAATTGTTCTACACACATCCAGTAAAGTCTATTAATAGTCTAAAAACTAGTGTTCTTAAGTTTATTCTAGATATATTTAATTTATAGACATTCTGTAGTGTTTGTACTGATTGACAAACACGTTATAGCGCGTCTTCAGTAGATTTTATTTAAAAAAATACTACAATTGGGGTTTTTACTCTATTGGACGTTGTAAGAGTTCATGCAAAAAGGATAAAGTAAGGAATATTAAAAGATCAGTGATCAGAAAGATCTGAAAGATCAGATCTGGTGGAGGTGGTGAACTCGATACAATCAGCTTTGTCAATGCCCATTGTTCAAAATCCCCAAAACTCACGGTTAAAATTCCCAAATTTGAGAGTAAAATTCATATTCCCCACAAATTCCCTACATCTCGAGTTTTCATTATTTATTAGAAATGCATCGCTTAAAATATAATAAAGAATTAAGAAACTCAAAATGTAATAATATATCACGTTTGCTGTGAATGTAAACAGAATGTAAAAAGTAAATCTAATTATAAAATTAGATGACCTTAAATCGTTTTTCCGGAATTCCCCACAATTTAGGGAATTCCCCACAATTTAGGGAATTCCCCACAAGTTGGCAACTCTGGATATAATAGTCGTAATTCGCCCGCGGGCCGGTCATGGCATTTGTTGACAAATAAGTGATAAAAACAATTGAAATAAGCGCGTAAGCTACAGTACTTCAATGTTGTGTATGTGTATTGTGCCGTCTGTCAATAGAATCCAGTGAAATCATTGAGTGAAATGTAGTTGGTGTGAAGAAATAACCCCAATTTTGTAATGAAAATTTTATTTCTTACAACATAAGTAAGGTATGTCATTAAAATATTCCTTATATTTATATGATAGGGAATTTATCCACCTTTCTAGTCATATATAACACATTCCATATAATTATACAGAATAACGTTTTTTGTGACAAATTGGATTTTTTAAATTGTTTTTTAACCTAGTATTTTGAAAAGTTTTTTATTGCATAATACGCACACTATTCCCTATAATTTTTATAAAGGTTTTGTAATACTGTCAAAAGAAAAAATCGCTTAGAAACATCGCGTTTTGTAGACAATCATAAAAGCTTCATAGGAATGAATATTCTTCTACAAGATCAACTACACTAAAGCAAGTAAAAATAATCTTTTCGTATTCTAAAGTTTTTTTATAGATAAAGCTGTAGACAAAATGCTTTGAAAATGACAATAGTGTTTTGAAAAAAGCTTTAAATTCTTATCGCCATTTTTATTTTTAAAGAATGACTTTGAAGTAGCCGAGAAAATTTTTTTTTCGTTTTAAAAAGTAAATCCAAGTTGAAATTGGCTTGAAGAATCCTAGAATTTCTTGGAAATGGTTTGTTTTGTGAGTGATTTTGTATATTTAAACTTTCTGTAAATATTTAAAACCGAAAATCGATAACTGTATTTTTATTAAGTTTATATTTATACTTAAATATTTAAAATTCAGCGAGCGCATTACTTTTATGACAGGTTTTACATTACTTTTCACTATGTATTTAAAGTCGCACGTCAATTCGCGCTTTCTAAACGATTAAACATTGCGCGATAAAGTCAGAAATATTATATCTAATTTTGCCATATTGCAATTTAACAGTTTGTATTTTGTAAGCCATTAAACATGAAATCTATTAGTATTGAGAGAATTGCGTCTTATGTTTATAACGCTTGAGTATTTTGGTTTTAAAGTAGCATGACTAAGAAAACTATTATAGACTATAAATTATCTAAAAACTGTCTACAAAACTAAACAAAAACTGTCCACATTCTATAAATGATGTTGTAGCATTCTAGAAGGGGATACTTGAGAAAAAAGATAAGAATCACTCTTAAGACTACCCACAGATAGTTTATCAAAGCACTCTTGTGATCTACTAATAAAGCTGTCTCGCCCCAATGCTTCTGCGCCCGCCGCTCCGAAGCAGGCAAGCCCCATCACCGTCGCGGCCCACCGCAATCAAAAACCACCGCCAGCGCCTTCTGCGCAACGACCTCCCGCGAATGCTCCACGCGCCCCCTCGCCGATACCAGCACCGACTCACTTAAGGACGTCCTGGCCTTCGTAAGCCACTTTGTTAGCACCTTCGACGTTTTCGAAGTTCATTATCTAGCCACGCTCCTCCGGGCCACCGACGGAAACGGCACCGCGCGTCTACAAGCCATGTCGCGTTTCAGCTCGCTCGTAGAATCATTGAGCAAATTCTCCGCCTCTTCCTTCTCTCTATAAATGGATTTATTGACCAGTAGGAATAGAGTCAAGCCACGATCAATAAAGCTAGGCTTTTTTTACACGGATGACTTATCGAGCCAACGCGAGGAAGTTCGAGCCTTCCTCACAGACCACCAACACGATGTCCTGTTAATTCAAGAAACCTTTTTAACACCCACCGCTCGAACCCCCCCGTTTGTCAACTATTGCGCAGTCCACAACGATAGATTACACTCGCCCTCGGCGGTACCATTATATACTACAAACGTTCACTTCATTACATGACTCTCGACCCACCCCCTATAACGTACATCGAGGCATCGACGTGTCGGCTCGGCTTCACCGGCCACCCACCGATCACCTTCATTTCGGCCTACCTGTCCCCTGATACCTCCCGACCGCTAATTCGCCAAGATGTTAAAGCCCTCTTGTCCGTAATTCTGACTGGCGACCTTAACGCCAAAAATACTGCATGGAATTGTAACACCACCAACCCTTGCAGTAAAACTCTCATGACTCTATCCGGATCCATGCATTTCGATATAATTGCACCCTTAGTGCCCACCCACAATCCGCATAACGTAAAATACCGCCCCGACATCCTAGACGTAGCATTATTCAAAAATATTAACCTTAGATTAGACTCGATCCTGGTCGTTCACGAATTAGTTTCGGATCACCGCCCCGTCCTCCTTCACCTCTCCCCTCGTTCGGACATAGCCCCCCCCTCTGATCCTTGCGCCCCCGTTAAATCGGTGTTGGACTGGAGGAAGTTGAGTCATGACCTCAATTTCCGTCAAATAGTATGTTAGTAATAGTATGCTTATGTCAAATGTTCGAATATTTTCAAACATTTTCCATGTAATCGATAAATTTAATCAATGTGATCATTGTGAAAAAAAAATGTGTTAAAATAGAAAACTAGTAATTAATGTAAAAAAACAGACGTATAAATAGAATGTAATTCCTTCCTCTGGATGTAGCTGAGATTTTTTTGCAAGTTTGTATATTGCAAGACGTCATATTTCACGGAGCACTTGACGCAGTCAATTCGATAATGAAAATTAAAAACATCGATTTGAAAGTAGTATTTATTGTGCGATAGTGGTTTTGTGCTTGTACCTTGACAGAGGGAATTGCCTATCAATGAAGCCTCCAGTCCTATATGCTCCAAGATTTCTGGCATACAACAAACGTATGATACGTAAACGTATTTCCTTAGAGGATGGAAAAAAATAGTCTAAGCCTATTTTACTGAAAGGTACATCAATCTATCGGAATGAAACACTATTTTATATGACATAATGGTCTAATTGTACACTTTGACCCAAACAATAAGATCAACAAAAAAAAATTACAATTGCACACAAACATTGCAACAAGTCTAATACTTGAAAATCGAAGATTTTTTGTATTTGCAAGTAAAGGTTCAATTTAGTTCCAATATTATGAATTGCTCACAAGAAAATCAGCTCCAAATATATAATATTTGTTGTACGTGATTCATTGTATAAATGGAGATAATATATGAAACAACTGTTGAGAAAAATTACGGTAATTTTGTTAAAAGAACTGTTATTTCGTTTAGCGTTAATTTAAATTGATGTGCTGTATTTGTTATGTTATATGCGTGATGTAATTTTGTTATGTAAACCATATTTTTGTAAATAAATGAACACTTTCGTTGTCACTGAGAAATTAGCAGAGGTCTAGTTTTTATACATGTTTTTTAATTTTTTTTGATACTAGTTTTGTTAGACAGATGTTCTATTTGTAGTGAAATATTTTTTTATTGTGCAAGTTATTTGAATAATGATGATAATTTTATATGTATTGAGTTTTCTGATATGCACTTAAATATTTCCCATTTTACAATTCAGAACCAAGACGATCTGATAATAATTTTATTTAAGCTGCTTATTAATAATGCGAGGGATGTGCGATGTTGAAAAACACAATGATATAGTTCATCACAGTGTTTCTAACAATAACGACCAAACTAGCGATGCATCGATAGATTAGACAAAATCATAAAATGTTAGAATCACCACATTTTCCCAACGTAGTGCCAATCCCCGAAAAATCCCCAATCTAATTGAAATTCTCCGCAATTTGGGGATTTCCCCACACATTGGCAACCCTGGAAATCAACGAAATTGTCTGTGGTAAGGACACGAAAAGTATCGGTATCGATACTTTTTGGTATCGAGTATTTTTTCCTCCAATACCGATACTTTTGTACTCGATACTTTTCAGGTATTTACAAAACGTGTCTCGTCAAAAACTTGAAGGTTTTATGTTTACGAACGAAATTGTGTCCAAAAAAGTTAAGTAAAATGACTCCCACCGCTTATAAAAAGGTCCATTCATTATCTTGCACTACAGCCTGCTCGGCCCGATGCGGAACTGTGAATGTATGCAACTACAGTGTCCAGCATCGCGTAGCGAACGGCTGGGCAGGCTGCAGTGCAGGATGATGAATGGGCCCTTTTAGGCTATTTAAAAAAAACACTTTTTAATTTTTGATGATTTTGATGATGATGATTTTGATTTTTTAGTGTGAAACGAAAAACTTAATAGAAAATATGTGGAAAATATTTCATAATTAATTCCCCCGATATCCCGATAATTACATTCAGACCTGGCTCAAAATAATTCTGTCTAAGCCAAAAATGGAATTAAAAAATAATTTATTTTTTACATTGACAGATGACAGAAACAGATACGTACTTTGTGCAGGTGCGCGGTGTTGTACTGTACTTGTTTTGGAAATTGTGGATGTCGGTGCCGTGGGGTAGTGATATTGAAAATGAACAAATTAATATCTTTGTTCAGCGTTAAGAGATTAATAGAATCTCGAGCTTTTGCATCGAGACTCACGGCGGATGGCAAAGAAATACCTAAGAAGAAAACATACGAAACTAGAATAACATTAATAGGCACTGACAACTCTGTTTCTATCACAGACTTAAAAAATGCTCAAAATGTATCGCTTAGAAGGGAATTGAAGTTAGTGAAGATACAAGATGTTGACGCTAAAACCAGACGCCCAGTGTATAAGTGAGTATTTCTGAAAATTTGGTTTTTACTTACAAAAACGGTCTGTGAAAAACAGGCTTCGGTTTTGGGCTGTATTAGGTAATCTTATCAAATTTCTTACATAGGATGTTTATTTCTAGGTTAATGACTAATGCTCAATATCACGAAGAAGAATTGCAAAAGAGAAAAGAGAAGCAGGCAGCTCGACAGAGCAACACTATGAAAGGAGAGAAACTGTTAACTCTGTCTTCTAAGATAGGAGAACATGATCTTATGACTGGGGTAAAGAAAATGATGAAGCTACTGCAGAAACATTATGAAGTGAGAATTATTATAGCAGGAGAAGGAGAGGCAGGAGTACCTCAATTGGTAAAGAATGTTACTTATATTTCTCTTACATCATTTACCTTATTGTATGTCCCAGTGCTGGGCATTGATCTCTTTTGAAGGAGAGGGGTTTAGGACATAAGTCTACTATGTGGGCTGAAGACTCCACATTTTCCAAGAATTGTAAACCAGATTCAGCTTTCCTTAACTATTAACGAGAGGCGTTGCTATTAAACATTTGGAAACCTGGTATTCAAACCATTGAGCATTCACTTGGAAAGCATATGTACTCCACTACTCAATTTTTCCTTGAGCTTATTAAATGTAAATTTGTGGTTACTAAATAATAAACTCAATATCACATTCCAGGAAAGAATATACTCAGTAATAGAACAAAATATAAAATCACATGGGAAGGTAGTACAGAAGAGAAACAAAGGTAATGATTTAAGATTCCAACTTATACCAAATAGAGAGAGCAGTATGCTGTGTCCAGAAAGTGGACATTCTAATAAACCAGATGGTAATGGGCCACTATGACTAGCTGTTGGTGTCACTGTTATATTACTAACAAAGTATATTTTGTTAAGTAAGTACTATTTTAAAAAACCATTGGGTAATGATATGACATCTAAGCCTAAAAAGTCAATAGAATCCAGTGACACAGAAACACTTGATTATTAAGGGCTTTAAAATTGATATAATAAATGTAAATAACTTGCATTTTGTACTTTTTAAACTGTTATTGTTTTAATACAATTTAAACTTTGTTTCATTAGTATTTTATTATGTTGGATATATTTAGTGTAAATACATAAAGAAAGACAATGAAATGCAAATTAGAAATAATTGAAATATTTTATTCGTCCATCTACTTCGTCAGTCATTTTTTTGCAGTTATTACCTACAGCTACAAAATAAACAGGTCAAGGAAACACCTAAACAAATTACAATAGGTAAAAGGTGACACTAATAAAATTACATAAATTAATGTGTCACTTTTATCAGTGGAGCTATCACAGATGCTTTAGAGATCTTTTATCTAAAATGGTAGATGATATTAGTTATAAAAAACATCTAAGATATTTATAAAGTAGCTAGTATGATGCTGTGTCTATTATGATATTGTGGATGAGTATAATGGTAAATCATCAAGTTATTCGTAATAAGCATAGGTAAAACAGTTATTTACAAAAGTATCTTAGAAAATACTATAGCAAGATTGATATTAATCAGTGGTGTTAATAGATACAGCATTCTATTAATTAATACTTACATTATTAAAAAGTGCATTGCTGAAATAATTTCCAACCTACATTTTTTGTTCATTATGCTTGTCTTTTATACAAATACAAAAATTCAACATCTACCAAAGTTGAAATAATTATGTAAATAAAACTAAATTCAGATCTCAAGCGAGACCATCCTAGATATGCAGTACATTACAAAATTTTGACTGCTATAATAATAAATAAAGTAACAAATTAAGGTCCTGTAAACATCTACATTACATACACTAGAATTTTAAATATGAACACTTGAGATACTTGCTATTCGTCTTGCATCTTATTTAGGCAAAAGGTGAGAGTCTTAAAATGAATATCTTAAAATTTCGGACAATATCAAAAGCGTGTTCTTGAGAGGTGCACATTGGCTAGGAAATGTTTTTATTACCTTTAGCAACTTATACTGGTCATGAAAATGTGGACATTTTTGAACCTATAAAATTATATTACATGGCGTGTGAGGTTACGTTGTGTAGACGGCGACGTACGCGTATCGGTCTCTTTCGACCTGGGGCAGATCCGTGTAGAGAGTGCGGCCCCACGTCAGCAGGGGCGACACGGTGCCCACCACGGGCGCAGCGCGCGCTACACTTCTTACGATGTTCTGCAATAATACATAATTTTCAATAAAATACTTTTGGAATAAATTCGAGAGCATAGAAGCTACGTAATATACTGTATATGAATAATTGGACACTACACGGAACTATTTTGTTCTCCACATTATGATCTATATGGTAATATAGAATTCAAAATATTGATTTTTATCAGAAATAAATGTTTTGACATAGGAAATGAAACTATTTTTCCGGATTTAAATCGCCTATATTTGTTTTTTCAAACAAACCGACGTTTCCTAAGAACTCGATAAATGTTTTAAATTTGAATAATTGAATTTTTAATTACTAGAACAAAAATTATTTTTTTACATATAAATTAACATTTCACATGCACAGTTGAAATGAAAAGATGTCAGAAATGACCGAAGTAACCATTTACATATAAATACGATTTATTCTGTATCAATAGGTGATCGTGCATTATAAGTACTCCAATGGAAAGAACTCCAATTGAATGAATTACGAGTGTTACATGAAAAATATTAGTAAGCATGCGTTTAAAGCGTTAATATGAGGGTTAGTTACTCGCCGCTTTCTTGTTCTTAAAATTCTGTAAACCAACTAAAACTTATTATTTTTTTCTAATAAAACGTAATTAATTTAGTTCAAAAATCCTTAAATATTTTATTCATGTTGAAATGTTGATATATAAATTGCTCAATTGAAATTTCAATAACAGCTATATATTCCTTCGATTATATAAAGGATATATTCCATTCCAATTCCAATTGTAAACGCAGTGAAACTGTCGCGTTTGAATTTGTCAAAATCAACGGAAGTTTTTGTAAGAACAATAGGCGGCGAAGAAGACACACCATGTTACCCATGAGATGGGCTCGGCGTCGGCTCGTGCGCCGCTTGCGCCGGCACCAGCATCGCCGGCCTCGCCGTGCGCTCCCGTACCCGCGACTCCGCGCGCTGCCCACCTCTCGCAGCGCCCCCGCTGGCGCCTTCACTGCCTCTGACGCAGATCCCTTGTGTTGTAGTTGCTTATGTGGCTGTTTCTCTTCTCCTACTATCGCAGGTACTGCCGGGGCACCGTGTGCAACGTTTTCTTGCTCCGCGGATCTGTCTTCAATTAGGTGCGTGTCCAATGTGTCCAATACTTCTGGGCTGTTCGATAAAAAAAAGTAATCATATAATTTGTCATATCATTTATTAATACGCTGAGTGCTTTTCTCCACTCCGAATAAAATCGCACTATTTGTTTCTATAAATAATATTATTGTTTCCTGAGTTTACTTACTTAATAACTGAACAGTACTCGGCTAGCTGTTCCCGCGTACACCCGACCATACAACATTCGTCCGCAATGCCTTCTGACTGTCTCTTTCGTCGGAGTACGGATGCCGGTTGTTCTACCACTGAAACATATTGTTGTGAATAAAGTTATTTTCAGAAGTAATTAATAATTAGAATAAATTGTCTAAACATTAGTAGTATTAATTTCGTTTTTTTTAATGACACCAAGCTACGGGACTTCAAAGTCGTGCGTCTAGTGTTAAGCGACACGCCTGTCTATAACAGCTGCAGTGCCACCCAGAGCTTTACATCACCAAGATTTGAGGAGCACTGCCACTGCGCCCTTCACCTTGAGACATAAATTGACAAGTCCCATGTGCTTATATTACCCTTATCCTTCAAAACCGGAACGCAGTAATGTTCACATTACTATTGGCGGCAGTACTAAATTTCACAAGGAGCTCTGCTGCTACGGCTAATTTAACAATGGAAGATTCATTACTGTTACTATTGAAAAAATCTCTATAATTTCTTGCAATATAAATATAAATTTGAAAATGTTGCATACCCAATCACGTGGTTCACTTTTGCCTTTTAGTTACGTGGTTTTGGGTATTATCCATTGATATACATACCCAAAACCACGTAACTAAAAGGCAAAAGACCATTGTCTAAGGAGGGCTGCTTGTGGTTCATAACAATAAATACAAGAACATGCGCTCGTAGCGCCTAGATACGCCTGTGCTTGTGGTGTATAATTACTATCAACTCGATTCACGCTTTTTCGGGGGACAATTTTTGATACAAAATTTAAAATTGTTCCTGCTTCATGATTTTTAGATAAAAATGTATGAAATGTTCAATACATTCCAGTACATTAAATTGCACTTTGTTGTAATTAAGAGCTTAGTTCTTGTCGGCGGAGTAATCGTCAACCATCTCTGTACGCAGCCTAAACATTATTATTTTTCACACAAAATAGTTATTTTGTGTGAAAAACAGACAGTTGAGACAATTGAGACAGTTGTCTCACCTATAATTGTAAGTCAATGGTCTCACCAATAAAATACCCGTGACGTTTTCGAGTTTCTCGATTGTCAGTCTTCGTTACTTCACTTTACGTTAAAAAATTATTCGTGCTACCGTTTACATACACTATTTTACGCATACTTCACCTTTACTACTCAATGACGATATGAAGGCAAACTTCAAAGTTCGTGTTATGAAAATTTAGTACCAAATACGCTCACGGGGGCGCTGTTCCAATTGTCATACAAATTGTCTCGATGACGATACAATAACGCTACTACTCGATTTTGGGTGAAAGTTCGTGCTTGGGCCACTGTTCAATAAATAGAATAAATGATGTAAATATAATTATTAAAAATAGGCAAAATAGGCGCCTTGACGTCAAGTTGCGTACACCAGCCCGTTACACCAAGTACCAAGTATAATTATTAAGTAAGAAATGTAGGCAAAATGCATATTGTTGTAGGCAACGATAAAAGACAGTCAATCTAAATGTACCTCTACGAGCGTAGCAACGTACGTAGCATTTACAGAAACTGATTTTCTGTATTGGCTTAAAACATTTATAATTTAATTTTATTCTATTTTTTATAAAAGTAGTATTAAACGGAACTGAATATCTATTCAGCACAATAAGTAGATCTGTTAAATTAATATGAATGATAATAAATATTTTAATATCTTCTTTGTAGGTTAAGTTAAGATGAACTTCGTTCACCAGTCAGTCACGTTATTTAGTTTCGCAATGACTCCGTCCGTTCACGGCGTATCTATGGGTCATGATTATGTTATTATATTACGGTGGCGTTTATACCATTCTTGTTTATTCTATTCCGGGGAAGAGTTAAAAATAGAGACGTGGTTATTGTTGTCATAATTCACATATTTGTTGTAATTTACCGATAAATATAAGGTATTAGACGTTCATCATGTGATAACCTGGTGTTCCAGCGAGACAGTCTAGATTAATTGAATAACACAAAATATTGCACTATCGGGCTTGTTATTTGGGCGAAATACAAGCCGTTGTAATTTCAAAGTAATGTGTTATACCTATTTACTTAAGTTTATATTTTTCAATAAGCTAAGTTGTTATAAATGTAATGATTTTTATTTTGGGTCATTTTCGTGTCAATTGGTCATTAACATAATCGCGAATAATAGCGATTAACGTGGAATGTGTCCAATCGGAGTGAATTTATAATTGTGTGGTCTTACGATTTTGATGCTTGTTACGGTGATAACGCTGTTGACATTAAATTATATACAATCATTTAGACCGCGACCGTCTCATTAACGATCGATAACGATTGTTGCGTCGCGGATGTTGCTTAAGATAATATATGTGTATAAGTCTAGTATTTACTAGTGTACGAATTCGTAAGTAGAAAAAATTCTGGTTGTATTGTTGCTATAAACATAGTCTATAGTGAATTAAAAATACTTTGAAGATAAAATTAACGTTATCAGTGCTATGTCCGGTTCAATTGCCGCGACGACGGTTGACCGTACATTTTGATAGCTGGCTCTCATATTTTTATTTATTACATTAACTTCGTGAAAAGAACCACTTGTTTCAATTATAGATATTTTTATTTTAAGCAAAAGAATTTGTTATAAAATGTGCATTTTCAAATATTGTTCTCAAAGGTACAAAATTACACGCAGAGACTACCTACACTCCAAACTCGTAAATTACATCCCTAAAATGGATAATAACAGTAAAAAAGTGGTATGTACCTGTAGGAACGTCCCATGAAGATGGAGGACTGTTGTGAACACGGCAGACGTGACTCATGAAATGGCTTAGCGTGCGGCCACACATCTTGAAGGTTCCGCCCCTTCTCGGCGCAGCATCTGTCAGTGCGCCCCACAGCATTATCACCACCACCATCGCCAACTGCACTGCTCTATCTATGAGCATTGTTACTGAAAATAAATAACAATATTATTTCTAAAGACCTGGATTTTAGTTATTTATAACTTGCTCTACTTTAACACGCGGTTAACAACTTACAAGTTTCCAATTTCTTTTCTGTCGCAAAAAGTACCCAAGAAAATCACGCAAGTGAGTGTAACTCAAGAAGGGTTTATGCTTTTATACTAGAAGAATGTAACTTGACACTAGCTCCGCCCAGTATCAAATATCTTTCATTTCCTAAATGCATTTAATATGAAAATGCACTCTCAATAAGTTAGCTTTCAACCGATTAGTTAGGCATGTTTTTGCTGCTTGAGTGACGAGTGCATATTGATGGCGGCGCGATATCAATCAAATCATCTTGGCATCAAATTGCATACTCCTATCTTTTGTTTGTTATTAAGTAAAGGAGTGCAGATCATTACGGTTCGGTTCACGTGACCGCTTCACGTTGTTTACTAATGCTCGTGTAAATTATAAACAGTTGATATCGCTACTATATAAAGGAACAACCGATTTCCTTGGACCACTTGGTCAGTTGTGTTTTCCTACTTATCTTGCGCAATTAGTGAATCATAGCCATTACGAGGGAGAAGATTTAAGTTCAACCTCCACTACGGTTGATGTTTTTACTGCTATTAACTTTTGACTTCGTGATTGTCGTATGTGGGTGTAGGTTTTAAGTATATCGGTAATTTCTTTTATGAAATATCAATAAAGTGAGATATGTGTTATCTATCATATAGGTACTTACCTGTTAGTAAACATCTTTTAATTATTTTTTATCCAAAAAATTGATTTAGTTATTATAAAAATGAAAATTAAAGTGTTAAAAAACCTTGAATAATGATTAAATTTGTGCATTACGATCAAAAGGCCTGACTAAAATGATGAAATCACCTTCCTTATTCATAAAAAATGCAAATCAGCGGCTTCCTTTCGTTAAGTGCCATTCCAAGAATAGCATAGGGTGGGTGCCACTTTGTTCATTTCGCTTGGAAACGATAGTCTTAACTTCGAATGTTATTGTTTTTTATATGTAGTTGTTTTCTTTATCGATTTTAACGATGTTTTTTATTTTGGTATTCCATAGTAGCATTCCTACTATCTGTTTATCTGTTATTAAGTAACAAGTCATACTTTGTCTCACGACCTTTGAAGAATGATTACATTATGATTTTATTTGTATAAACAACAGCTACAAATGACAATTACATTCTAAAGTCAGCACTTAAAATATGTCTATATTACAGTAAATTATTATTTATACGTTTGTAAGGAATGGTATATGCCTTGCAAATCAGTTGCTTGCCAATTAAATGAAGATAATTTTGAAGTACTTAACTGTGTATTCAAAAATATAATACGCGTTACTGAATATTGTGTAGGATCTATTGAGTTATGACTCCAGCTGACAACGCATATAAAACTAAATATTAGCGTAACTAAAAAATGGCGGTATTGAGAAAATTCAATTTGAAAATTAAAAAAAACTCAATGAGTCTTATTGCGAATAATAGGATTATTTTTATTTATTTAGTTATCGTCTTATAAACGAGAACATAAATGTATTGGTCCCATTCAGTAATTTTTGCTCTTTCGAACCGCCATTTTTGAGTAACGACAGTATTCGCTTTCATGTGCGACATGTTTGAAACGTGAGAGTGTGCAGCGGGGTAGAGTTTGCAACTATTAGCTGCTCTGGTGTACTACAACGACCAATCCATATTATACTGTGTCGTACGGATTACGGTCCACGGCGCGCTCGCGCCGACGACGTCCAGGCGACGTATAATATGCACAGATAATATCACCGCGTAAAGGCTATTTTTAGCGTCAGTAAAACGCAATTTGCGTTTCCTCTAGACTATATCCGTGAGGCATTGATTACAACACTACTCGTAGGGAAACGTTTTATGATATCGTTAATGTGCAAGTAGGTAGGTACTTATCCATGGCTGATCCTCGAAGTATTTCAAGCGTTACATATCTTGAAGTAATAATAGTTAAGCCTGGAGAATTTGTTGAAAATATTTAATAAACATTTCGTCTCCCACCTTTATCGTACAATATAATGCAAAAAAAAATAACGGAAGCTATCCGCCACTACCGCCACCTACTTAACTAACGTAACTGATATGATAACAAACTAGAAGAAATCCTGTACAATAGTACATTTTTATAGTAACTTCAAATATTATAATACTGTACAAGAATTAATGCCGTTCCTACCTAAAACACCCAGTTCACAAATATTGAAATGTTTGTAAATTGCTTCAACAGGAGATCGAACCTATACCCTCATATAGTTTTTGTACTTGATTGCTTGGCCACAGAGCTGCGGAGGTCGTCAACTACATGTATACAAACGAACTGAACAAGGATGCCTTGTAGCGTAGACCATGCAGTTTAAAAACGCGAAGTGTGTACAGTCAATCGGTCACACGCAGGGCGCGTGCGCGGTCGCTGTTGCCGCCGAGCGTCGCGGGGCGCCCGCGCACCTCCCGCATGTCTCAGTGCTCCTGCACTCTATTAGACAATTACATGAATCTCTGAACTGACCTGCAGCCTTGCTACGGCTTTAACCAGCGGTCGCTGTTTACGGATTACGAGTACACAATGTGGAGGCGTACTGCGTCTATTTGAGATGCAATCCTTGCTGATTACTGCCTCTATTTATTACATTGAATGAGACATTTGATAACCAACAATTTAATAATGCCAATTTACAAACTAGACTCTGGTAGGTAGTTGGACCGTTTCGGAAACACAATCACCTTGAGACGTGCAATGTGAAAGGTTAAAAGCTGGTCTTATAGTCCTTGCGATTCTTAGAATTTTGGGGTAATATTTAGAACGGGTTTCGCCTTGCTCATATCAACTAACTAAATAAAGTAGGTAAGCATGAAGATGTAGGAATTAAAAATGTTAGCTTTGTAACTTTTAACTTTGTAAAACGAGATTTTTACGAGCGGTTGTAAAATATTTAATTTGAACGAACACCCACGGTGATTTGAGCGAAAACGAGTAATACATAGATTGTAATTCATGTTGAATGTTGCGACTTCAAAATAGGTACATAAATATCTGTTACTGTATGATTCGACTGCAGTGTGTAGCAACCGGGAAAGCGACATGGATGTAGAGGCTTAGGTTGAATTAGAAAAGGCTGTTTTTTATTACACGTGAGCACGAACCGGCCTACGTGCACATAATAGTAATACCTACTGGTAATTCCAAGCACTTTGAAATGAATATATGGCGTCCAGGGACAACTCTAATCATCTTTATGCGTGGCGTGTCTAATTTATATTCGTTCCCCTGGTAACAAGGTGTTCGACATTGGTTGCAGACGATACGGTAACAAAAGACAATTCAATGTTGGCGAGGTCCTAATTGACGACTTGAGCCGGTTACTGGCTTCATTCAGTTTAGTCATAGATAACGCAGACCTGCGTCTGAATCTAGTGCTATTTTGACTGATTAGGTTACTCTAGATTAGATCGTCTTAAATCGACGACAGCCTGAGATAAGTTCTGGTAACCTTTAAATGGGTAGGTCAACCATAAATTATTGTTTTAATGTTATTGTCTAGCTCGTTAAGTGATTGTCGTTATTTCCCATGATGTAACTTTTTTATTGCCTGAGTCCACGTCCCTACACTTACAAAACTTAGATCGTATAAGTTAACAAAGTCATGTATAATAGTTTCGACATGTGTGAACGTTGTATGCTTTTGAGATTGAGTAGGTACTTCTCAGATATTTTTATATTAGTAAATTGCATGAGGTCACAAGAGTTAGCAAAACACGGCTGTAAGTCACTCACAGGTGGCGGTGGTCAGTGATCTGATTGCAGAGCTATCGACCCCAATTTAAGAGCAGACACGACAAAGTTATACGTGTGTGTTATTCGTATCGTAAAATGTTATACGTGATCTCGGGATTCATAGTGTTGTTTATGTCTCTATAAATTCTCAATTTATTTACCTATGAATAGGTGTACTATAAGATGATTATAAATATTTTAACGCATGTTTAGGTATTATCATAGAAAACTGCGTTCTTATTATAAGTTCTAATTTTAACTACTACATTATTGTAATCTATGCATTCTTAATTTAGAAATATTGCCAATTTATAAATTTATTTGACACCGTCGATCGTCTGAGACCTACAAAAATTTATTGTAAATACGAAACATTGACCACGCTTCGCTTCTAAGAAATAATACCTGGGATACTGATCCCATTTATGCGGCCGCTGACAACTTAAGTGTAACGTTGTAAACCTTCACACCTTACAATAAGTTCCTTTACTGCGTGAAACGGTAGGTTAGTGTGCTTTTTATTTTGCAGATAAACAGTTTTTACGGTGTGGCCGAGGTGCGTTTGTTCGCGCCGGCGCGCGGTGGCTGCGGTACGACATAAATATATCGGATCGTTTAAAATGATACTTTTACTGTAAATGATACAAATTTATCTATGTAGTACCCTAGATAATATAATACTATACTAATAATAGTACCTGCTGTCGAAATTGCATTTAGCATTAAAATTGTCTGAGCGATCAGTGTTAAAAATTATTTGAAATGTGAGGATCAACCTTGTTTCAATCTATTTAAATTGCCCTTTTTTGTTTTTAACTAAATATGTATTTAGACATTTTTTAACACTGAATATGCCTAGATACTATACACTATGACACTGAGTGGACTACCATGAAAGTGCTACCTAGTTATTTAATGTAGCAAACCTTGCATTACACTTTGCTTTCAATAGAATGTTTTAATTGGTAGGTACTCAGCATAAGTAAGAGTCGGTATACTAAATTTGTTTACTACAATGTTAATCTATTTGTTAAAAGTCATAAAGTTTTTGAGGAAAAACTGAATAACTACTTACTTACTTATCTTGTACATAACTTATTATAAGTTTGTAAGTTTTGCGTAGACATCACACGCACTCAGGAAAACGTTATAAAATTAAATTGTTCTTAAATATCATTTTGAAAAAAGCTTTATGTAGGTACTACATCTTACATAATTAGTTACTACATCATATGATGGTGAAAGAACTATAATGCCAACCTAGCGCAGGTAGGGAGGTACATTTTACCGTTTTACGTAGACATTTTTGCATATATTTAGATATTGGTGGCCATAACAATATGGTGTCATTATACAAATAAAGTAACGTAATTCTGACATCGCTAGTTACTGCTTTGACAATGTAGAACATTGTCTTATAGTACACACGCTGCACGATGGCCTAATAGTGGCGTGAGATGAATTATAAACAAAACTTCGCTAAATTAAACAGAAGACGTTAACAATGCAATTTAACGAGACCTTATTATTTTCTCTCCACGTAAAATACGGTAATAAATATTTGATTAATTTATGCACTTAGTTCTAACAATTCTCTGACCGGATAAATAGAACTACTTATTTTGCTTTTAATACCTTCTCGTCCTGGATCCTGGAGCCGTAACTACGATCTGTGAAAAATGTCTGATACTCACCTTCTAATGCGGATATGAAGCAGTAGTAGAAGCGTGGCGTGTGAATTCGCGTTGCTAAAGTGTCATGTAGTAGCGAATACGCGGATGAGTCGGTCGCAGGTTTAGTGCGACAATGCGCGCTGCGGATACGTCGCTGACGCTGTAGACTGGGCCCGGCGCGCGCGCCGCCACGCTTTTAACCAGTCTGAGATGGGCGGCGCGCGGGTGCCTAACACGCCCCGCGCCGCAGCTCCCCATCGCCTCTCAGCATCACAACAAACCCCTCTATGACTCAATTGAACTGCTCTGCCGAAGGTTTGAGAAAACTTGTCGGGAATAAACGTAGCTAACTAGCTACGATTGTTAAAAATTATTTCGTCGTTAGTAACTACTATTTTTCACAATCGTTCAATACAATTGTTCTAAAATTAGCTGTATTTAATAGATCCGTAGTCTATGCCTACCCCACATGGAAAAAACCTTGTTATTATGTATCTATGCAAGTGACTTATATAAATTCATATCATGCCTAACACATGAATGAATTCAAATATAATAATTCCATACATATATGTATAACTAGGTGGTTTCGAAATTGCCACAATGAACTTTAATATTTCATTTCTCATAAACAGACATAAACAGCGGTTGATTTATTGTATTAGTCTTGTAGTTGTTGAATAGGTTCTTCTAACTAATACTGTAGTTGGTGAACAGAAACAGAAATAGAACAAATTAAAAATTTATTCTATTTCTGTTTTTGTTGATTTTTGGGACGTTTTTCGCTTAGAGCCACCACGTGTTTTATATGTTATTGTAGTCTTTCATTTCATACAGCTGTTTATTTACAAGATGACTGTAAATGCAGCTTAGGCAAAGGCGAGGATGTTTATGATGCCCACGGATATCTCGCAGTTTCCGGAACCAATTGTCTTTTATTTGTTAATAAAGCGGAGTGCAACGGGCTATATTTGTTGACTCCAGGCTGAAATCGTTTCCCAGAATCCGCCCAACAAAAGAACGTGTAGTGTCACTCAACATTTTGTGTCGCTTTCTCGTTCACAAGCTGTCAATAGATTTTTCAGTACGACCGATCAGTCATACTATGGTCTACTACACACAATGTGTCTTTATGTCTTTTGCAGATATTTTAGTAGCAGTAGAGCTCCTTATGATTTAGTTCTTCAAGGGAAGTATGTACTACCACCTTACCTATTTCTACCGCCAAGTAGTGTGCTGGTGAAATTATATGCTGGCACATGGGACTTGTCAACTTATGTCTTAGGGTGACGGGCGCAAAGGCAGTGTCTTCAGATCTTTGCAATTTACATCTCTGAGTTGCACTGCAACTGCGAAGGACAGGCGTGTCGCTCAACACCAGGGGCATGATTTGTTCGTCCATCACTGAGTATCTTAAAAAATATAATGCCCTGATTATTCATATGTGTAATTAGATTCCCCACATTTATCATTATTTTAAAATAAAAATGTCGTTTATAACAAAATGTTTATGTAACTTTTATGCATTAGCAACTTTATGGCCCATACGTGGTTCTTTTTTACGTAGCAAAGGAGGCGTAATTTGCACAGCGAGCGATGTCCTGCCACCCAAGTCACTAACCTGTTGACGAAAGGTGTGGTTGTAACAGGTCGAGTAGTACATATTATCTATTGAATGTTGAGTAAACGTACGGGGGATGGAATATCCCAGGGGTTCAGTGACAGCACTGACACGTCTCCCAGACGGCGCGGACTAGAGTCACTGACTCCATCTATAAATACCTCATTCTTTACAATTTGTAGAGCTCAATGCAGCCAGGCTATTTACAAACAAGGTGACAATTTATTGATCGATGTAGTCCTCGGCGGGCTAATGAGAATTAATTGCACTTTAAGTGTGTCGTCCGTTCTGCCTGAGAGAAATGTTGCAATACGTGATTTACTTGTAGGTGTTAATCATCGTGTTTATGTACTTATGTTTATAGATAATCGTTTAGTTACGTATTTTATAATTATTTTAGATTTGTCTTTTAGAGAAGTCCAGTCAATTTTCAACAAGTTTCTTTTTTCCATATTAAAAGTTATTTTACAACTTTTATATCTTATACATTTATGTTAACTGCACACACAGTATCGGACATTTATGGTACATCCGTCAAAGTTCTACCAATAAAGCCTCTAAGTAAAATTTTCTGTAGTTATGTTGGCAGATATATCGGTAACAAACAAGGCGTTTGTTATCAGGCTCCCTGTTTGGCTGTTAATTGGTAGATAAGCTTGAAAGCTGTCAGCCTCGGCTGGCGCCACCAGACGCGTTTTGGAATGTCTATTTTAAGTCTGTTCTACACCAACGATCCTGTACTTACTACACTCTCATATTGGCGTCTACATTGGCACAAATATTGAATGATATTGAGGTTTTTCCTTATTTTGTTACATTAGCAAACACGTAATTATAAACTCTAAATTTACCGTTCTTCTGTTCTCTGGAAAAGGATTCGGGACAAAATACTTAAGGAAAATATCTTCCTTTGATCTGGTAAGCCAACACCACTTACAAAAGAAAATGTCGTTTTATGTGCAACTTTGTAAGTATTTTACATCTTAACGTTAGTTGGTTACCCGTAAATTTTGCTATTTATTTTATTTATTTTGCTATATAATAATATTTAAGTATTTACTAAACCGAATGTGATTTGATAATGATGTTTAAAGTAGATAAAAGGTATATCGGATTATCTGACGTAATCGACATTATGTTCATAATTGTAGAGCGTGTAGGTAACATATTTAATCAAACTACTGTCACAATTATTCTAGAATTGGGCCAAACAATAAACCTATGTACGTACAGAATTAGAGTGTAAAATGCTTGATATGATTGATGTTTTGCAATCTAGAACTTGACAAGGTTAGATAAACAACTCGTGTTTAAAGCTAATTAACTACTGTTTGGATGATTGTATCTTAGTTATGATAGAAAAAGCATCAAACGACTGCCCTTTGATCCTAATTTGATATGCCATAAATAATGTTAATCCAGCTTTTCATTATAACTTCGTTATTGCTTTTTTTTAACCAAAGGGACTGCTTTGACGGATACTACTTATACTGACTTAAGTTATAGTACGGAATTAATGTCAACTTAGTAACATTTAATTATATGAGTAAGAGCTCTTGACTAGTCACCATCAACACGGAAACCGGCACCGTTAATTCTTATTAAAGTTATGTAATTTAAATGTGAATTTTCCCTAGTAATTCCTGGAAATGAATTTATAATTACTTTTAAGTACAAGGTAACTATGTTTTTCCGTAAGTTTAGTTAGTATGTGTAGACATTATAAAGACTTTCGTCACAAATTCATATCCGCCTGCAACATTTGGTGTCAACGACTGATCGTTTGCGGAGTACTACGACCCTTAGGGTGAGGTCAGACAAGCGCAATTTTGTGAGTTGCGAGTCACGTTTTTTGAGTCCAATAGTTTATGTCCATCTGAAATTCGGTTAGGACACCAGAGGAACTTATTTTATTTAGTTATTTTGTTTTTAAAAGTTTGTATACGGTGCTTGTGTCATATAGTGTAATGGATCTATTAAAAATAGCGTGCATTTATGAAGCATTAGATAGATGGTAAATAGGTTCACTATTCCGGTATTGGTAAGCTTACCAACTTACCCTTTGAGCGGATCTTCGCTCAAGGGGTAATTATGCCCGTGTGGCACAAACTGGACTTTTATATGAAACCGAATGCAGCCACTCAAACACGCGACTCACAACACGCAATATTACGCTCGTCTGGCCTCACCCTTAGGCTAAAACTGTAGGATGAAACGTTATTTGTTTCTTGCGCTTAGCTTAATAATAACTTTTTATAGAAATGTAAAGAAAGAGTTATCGTTATCATTGAATAGTTCGGCAATATCCAGACGCCACAAAACGATTTGACCGTGTTAGCAGATGGTGTTGTTGCTGCCACGGAGCTTAATCATCAATCTTATTTTAACATGTGGATTACGAGCATCAAAAAGGTACTCTGTAGGTACTCCCGAAGCAAAGTACAAAACAGTACAACTGTAACATGTACACATACTCTTTGTCAATTGCATTACGATAGGTACACATGATTGTAATAGCACAAGAATGATTATAGCACAATGTAAAGACTGTAATAACTTTTCTCTTCACATAACCATTAAAGTTAGAAATCGTCTACGTTTCACACCTTGTGTAGTTATACTACAAGTCTGTGCAAGGGGAATCTTCCCTTTCTATGAAACATGTCCAAAGGACGTCGCTTTAAGAAAAAAACATGTAGTACAATGTATTTTACGACTCGTCTTTTATGGAATAATAATCTTGCGGATAATACCATACTTGTGGGCAGGAGGCAATAAAATATTCATCAGTCAAATGACGATGTGGCACCCTACGCGCATCTAGATGTTTGCTAAGGCCTGTTCATTTATAGTTAGCATTGGTAAAATTGTATGTTGTTTTGCTAAGAGTGATTTATAGGTTTACAGATGACAACAAAAATAACAGCAGACGAGATGGATTTGCAATATCATTAACTAGTAGGTATAATATGGTTTTCTAGTGGTGAAACATTCTGACTTTCAATAAAAATTTAATTACAGTGGAAATTTTTCAGGAAAATTTTGTAAACATTTGGAAAAATATGATCGAATACTTTACGTTTGGCTTATTTTCACATAATTATTCTCATTGAGATTGTACGTGACTTATTGACCAACGAATTTCAAAAATCGAACAACAAATGTTATGTTTATATTACTCGGTAGGGTCCAGCAACTGCTGCACAAATGTGCCGTTTAGTGTCCGCTTCGATTTTTAATAGACTTGCCAATGAGATTGATATTAACAGAAGGGTAATACATTTCTTCTATTTTATCCTTGCACTTTACAGATGTAAAGCTACACAAATGGCTATTCAACCTATCTAGGCTACTGTTGGTTTACATCATAGAGTGTAATGTTTATTTCTAAACATTACGCTCTATTAGGTACTTAACGGCATGCATACAATAATTTTCATGTTATTAAAGATGTTTAACTTTATTGAAACATGTCCTGTTGACGTCATACCTTGGTATTATGCCTGGTTTAGGAAAATGGCTACTGTTGGAAATAGCAGAATGTATTTTTTTC